GCGTGCAGGACATCCAACCCAATAGATGAAAGAGCAGTGTTGGGCTGGCCACTATGCTAATCTCTTCAGTGATAGTATCCCAACAGTCCTATGAGAGGAGCATTAATATGACTTTCCTTTCCCAGATCAGAAAACTGAGGCATAGCAAGATTAAGTAACTTGTCCAGTGTCACACAGGTAGTACATGATAAAACCAAATATTTCAGCCCATGTTTGTCTGAATCCAGAGCCTATGCTTAGATTACACATCAAAGGAATTAATTTTCAATTCAATAAAATACACTGAATGCAAAAAAGAGTTTATAAAGAGTAGTGCTGGTATTATTGAGAAATTATCGAGGCTTCGAATCTGGCTCTGCCATTGACTGGCTGTGACACGCTGGGCAAAGTATCCCCCACCTCTGGGGCTTGGTGTTTTCATCTGTAAAACAAGGTGGGGCTTTTTTGTCTTTTTATTTTTTTTGATGGAGCCTCACTCACTCTGTCACCCAGGCTGGAGGGCAGTGGCGTGATCTCGGTTTACTGCAACCTCCGCCTTCTGAGTTCCAGTGATTCTCCTGCCTCAGCCTCCCAAGTAGCTGGGATTACAGGCACCCACCACCACACCTGGCTAATTTTTGTATTTTCAGTAGAGATGGGCTTTCACCATGTTGGCCAGGCTGGTCTCAAACTCCTGACCTCAAGTAATCTTCCTGCCTCAGTTTCCCAAACTGCTGGGATTACAGGCGTGAGCCACTCCACCCGGCCAAGGTTGTCGTTTCTTAAAGTTGGTTGATATTTATGCAGAGCTCTCTGTGTCCCAGGCACTGAGGCACAAGTTCTATAAGGCTCTCATTTGATTTTCCAGGAGTCTTGGGCCTTGGAAACCTCTCAAAATGCGTGAAGAGAGAACACCCGAAGCAGCGTCTGTCTTGACCCATGGCCTCCCTCTCCTCACTGAGTCAACACAGCAGCCCCTCCATTATCCTTTCTCCCTGCCAGCCAAGCAATTGAGGAAAGAAGCCTCCATGCCAAGATTGATGCTGTCTAGCCGGAGAAAAGGCATTTGAGAAATTACTTGGTAATTTTCTTTCTTCTGCCACTGGAGATCTATTTCTGGAGCTGGTGGAGACAGTGTGATTGTAAAATCTGAAAAGACCAAGAAAGTATGTGGCCTGGCCTGAAGCCAGAAGGAAGCTACACTAAATGATGAATTGAAAATAATGTCTGAGGTCTAGAGCCCAGAAGGAACTAGCGATGGGAATCATGTTACCTCTTCACCTGCAGCTTCAAAGGCAGGACTCACTTTTAAGAGCTTACCCGTGCAGGATGGTCAGGGTCAAGTGTTCAAGAAGATGCAGGATGGCTTTAAATGAGCTCTGAAAACCCCCTCCAGCCCAGCCCTATGAGATGATGAGAATGTTTTTTGGTAGAAAGAGAGTCACAAATTAGCATCAGTTTCACATTAAGCAAATAGCTCCTGGTGGAAATTTGATCAGGGAAGGTATAAGATGTTAAGTCAACTGATGAGTTGCTGTATATAAAGCTCTGTTGCTGAATCTTTTAATCTGGTTTCTACAGTGGTAGTCGGTGCATGGAGCTCACTGGTCTTGGACCCAGTAAACCCAGTTTGATCCTGGCTCTACCTGTGTAGCTAATTTCAGCCTCTTCATTTGTAAAATGCTAATAACAATCTCTTGTACTATAACGTTGCTGTGAGAATCAAAGTTCCATATATTGAAAGTGTTTTGGAAACTGTCAAATAGTAGTCAGATAATATAAGGTATTATATATTAGAAAAACAATTCATTTGTCAAAAATGATGAGGCAATGATAACTCAAATGATAGGCCAAAGTTAGAACCTATTGGCATTTTAGGAGAGCTTCATAATTCAAATGATCCTTCATAATTGTATGCATAGATAGAGACACAAGAAGGAGATGGGAGAGTCAAATGGTTGTTATATGGTCGAATTGTGTTTCTTTCTCAGAAATGAAGAAGTAGCCTGGGCGTGGTGGCTCATGCCTATAATCCCAGCACTTTGGGAGGTGGAGGTGGATTGATCACCCGAGGTCAGAAGTTTAAGACCTGTGTGGCCAACATGGTGAAACCCTGCCTCTACTAAAAACACAAAAATTAGCCAGGCGTGGCGGCACATGCCTGTAGTCCCAGCTACTCTACTCCAGAGGCTGAGGCAGGAGGAATCGCTTGAACCTCAGAGATGGAGGTTGCAGTGAGGCGAGATTGCACCAGTGCACTCCAGAGATCATGCTACAGCACTCCAGCCTGGACGACAGGGCTGAACTCTGACAAGCAAAAAAAAAAAAAAAGGAAAAAAGAAAGCAATTTTTATTTTTAGATGCTCAGACCACATGGCCGGATCTTTCTGGGCAAGTCTCAGTCAATTTATGTAAAGCATGAGGCTGAGAAGCTCATGCCCAAACCAGAGACGCCTGGCAGCGAGTACAGCAGAGTGACTTGCTGCTAGACCAAACTCATTTTAACTTGTGGACACAGCTTGGAAGCCAAAAGAAAAAGATGCCCAATAAAAGATCATCTGGACTTTTTGAGGCTGAGAATGCAGTAACATGTAACTATTTAGGGGTCCAAACCCATTTCAGGAAAATAGTAATTGAGTAGAAAAGTAGATCATGTTTTTCTACCCTTGGAGAAGCTGAGAAATGAAAGTTATCTCCTGGTGAGGCACTAGGTAGGGTGGGCTGAATAACAGATACTCTCTGCCACAAAATCATATCCTCATCTTCAACACTGTGAATATGTTACTTTACATGGTAAAAGGGACTTGGCAAATGTGATTAGATTAAGGATCTTGAGATGGGGGATTATCCTGGATTATCTGAGTAGATCCAAAAGAGGGAGGCAGGAGAGCCACAGATGGAAAGAGATGTGGTGGTGGAAGAAGAGGTCAGAGAGAGAGAGAGAGAGAGAGAGAGAGAGAGAGAGACATCTAAAGATGTTATGCTGCTGGTTCTGAAGATGAACTAAAAAATGTAGGTGCCTCTAGAAACTGTAAACGGCAAGGACATGGATTCTCCCAGAGAGCCTCCGGGAAGTATGCAGCCCTGCTTTTCCCGTTTTAGATTTCTGACACCCAGAACTATAAGGTAATAAATTCATATTGTTGTAAGCCACAAAGTTTGTAATCATTTGTTCCAGCAGCAATAGAAAGGTAAGATGCTAAGTAACTTTAGGCTGTGGTCTTTGCTCAATGTGACCCCTATACGTTGAAGAAGGACATATAACAAAACAATAAAACCCCAAAACATGACTGAAAACAAGATGCTTTGATAATTTGTTAACATGGAATTGCTAGTTTCCTTTAATTTCATGGCCACTGTTGTGGTAATGAACTGTATCCACAGGTTTCCAATCTGTTTCCTTGTCATGGACACATACAGGCACACACAGAGACGGACACACACACCTCACTTAAAATAAGACAGAAAAATTTCATGGTGGATCTGCATCAGAGACCCACCACGGTTCCCTACGCCTCCTGAGTGACATTTCCTTTCAGGAGTCTTCCTCTAGCCCCTTCCTCCCTCCCTGTTCCCTGGCCATCAGAGGGCTTCCTGATCGTCTCTGAGGCAGCCGTATTCCAGAACCCAGGCTACTGTGAGGCAGAGATCATGAAGGAACAGTCTTATGTTTTTGTTTTTGTTTTTTGAGAATAGAGTGTCGCTCTGTTGCCCAGGCTGGAGTGCAGTGACGCGATCTCCTCTCACTGCAACCTCCGCCTCCCAGGTCCAAGTGATTCTCCTGCCTCAGCCTCTCGAGTAGCTGGGATTACAGGCGCCCGCCACCTTGCCTGGCTATTTTTTTGTATTTTTAGTGGAGATGAGGTTTCACCATGTTGGTCAGGCTGGTCTCTAATTCTTGACCTCAAATGATCCACCTGCCTCGGCCTCCCAAAGTGCTGGGATTACAGGCATGAGTCACCATGCCTGGCCCGGTGCTATTTCTTTATGGTAACAAAACCTCTGGTCAAGTCAGCTAAAGATGGATGTTAAATCATTCAGGCTGGGTATGATGGTGGCTCACGCCTGTAATCTCAGCATTTTGGGAGGCTGGGGTTGGAGGATCACTTGAGGCCAGGAGTTTGAGACCACCCTAGCCAACACTGCAAGACTGTGTCTCTGTAAAAGACAGAAAAATTAGTCAGCCATGGTGATACACATCTGGAGTCCCAGCTATCCAGGAGGCTGATGTGGGAAGATTGCTTGAACCTGGGAAGTTGAGGCTGCAGTGAGCTGTGATTGTACCACTGCACTACAGTCTGGGTGACATAGCGAGACTGTCTCAAAAAAAAAAAAAAAAAAAAAAAAGACTCAAGGCACCATGAGGGCAGAATATCTATCAGATCAGTGGGCTGAGTTTTTAAACAAAAATCTGTGTCAAAGGCTGCTCTGGAGTTTTGCTTACATGGCCCTAGCATCAATGGTCCAAATGAGCTCACAGTCACTCTGCCTTCCCTCCTCCTCCCCTTCCCTTAACATGCAACTTGATTCCACAGAAGAGAAGGATAGGAACTAGAGCTAAAAACATTTTCCTTTATCTTTTTTTCTTTTTCTTTCTTTTCTTTTCTTTTTTTTTTTTTTTTTTTTTTGACAGGGTCTTGCTCTTTCATTCAGGCTGGAGTGCAGTGGTGCAATCACGGCTCACTGCAGTCTCAACCCCCCGAACTCAAGTAACTCTCCTACCTCAGCATCCGGGGATCATAGGTTTGTGCTACCACACCTGGCTAATTTTTTTTTTAATTGTCTGTGAAGATGGGATCTCACTGTATTGCCCAGGCTGCTCCTTTATCTTTGAGGGTTTTCCTGAATTTCAAAGAGTCAAGGAGGACACCCCATAGTACCACTCAGCTTTCTCCCCGATTCTCTCCCAAGGTGTCTTCCAGAAAGAGGGCTTCTGGGGATAATGCATTTCCAGCCACCATTCCTTCAACTAGGGCTTTATGGAACATGACCTTAAACTTGGAAGGAGCAGAAACACATACATGCTCAGACGTGAAGGCAATGAGCCTGGGAACAGCAGCCATTCCTTTCTCCTTGACTTCCGGGAACATCTTAAAGCGCGCGATCATCATGGCATACATGTTAGATATGGCGCCACCTAAAGGGCACAGCAACACACAGTTACTTTATTTATTATCAACCTCATTTCACATGCAAGCAACATTCCTTATTTCCAGTGACCTGAGTCCTCCTTGGACTCAGAAGAAAACCCTATTGACTATCTTTAAACTGAATCCTCAGACTCAAAGGCGCTACCCCAGAGGGCACTTTGGGACAGGACAGGTGCCACCGCCACACCCCCTCTCAGTCACTAACTGGAACTGCAGTGGATTCTACTCTTGTTGGAAGCCCTTTGAAGAGGGTTTTTAATTCAAAAGCAAAAGGTTTGCCTCCATCCCAGCTTGTGAACGTGGTCATTCTGCATAAGTTCTGTAAAATCCTGCTTATATCCGAATGGAGAAACCTTTTTTTTTTTTTCATTTCAACTCATTCAGTGCCTTGCACTTGGATTAAGATAAATCAGTTGTTACTGGTGTAAGCTGTTAACAATTTTTTTTTTTTTTTCTTGAGACAGGGTCTCACTCTGTGGCCCAGGCTGGAGTGCAATGGCACGATCTCCACTTACTGCCACCTCCATCTCCTGGGTTCAAGAGATTCTCCTGCCTCAGGCTCCCAAGAGGCTGGGACCACAGGCATGCGCCATCACGCCCGGCTAATTTTTTGTGTATTTTTAGTAGAGACGGGTTTTCACCACGTTGGCCAGGCTGGTCTCAAACTCCTGACCTCAAATGATCCACCCGCCTCGGCCTCCCAAAGTGCTGGGATTACAAGTGTCAGCTACCACGCCTGGCCTCATCAACAATTTTTAGTGAGCAGCAGTCCCCAACCTTTTTCGCAGCAGTGACGCATTTCGTGCAAGACAATTTTTCCACCTATGGAAGGTCGGGGGCGGGTGGGGGTGGGGTGGAGAATGGTTTTGGGACGAAACTGTTCCACCTCAGAGCACTGGGCATTAATTAGATTCTCGTAAGGAGCATGCAACCTAGATCCCTCGCATGCGCAGTTCACAATAGGGTTCATGCTCCTATGAGAATCTCATGCGGCCGCTGACGTGACAGAAGGCGGAGCTCAGGCGGTAATACTGGCTCGCCCCTTGCTTACCTCCTGCTCTGCGGCCGGGTTCCTAATAGTCCACAGACCTGTACCGCTCCACCATCAAGGGGTTGAGGACCCCTGTCATAAAGGATATATCTCCAATTCTATCTTATCGTACTCATCTGTTCATTCCTTCTAAACTAGTTCTTTCCTCTCAAAGACATCATTGAAATAGAATTGTATTAGCTAACAAAACTCATTTCATAATTATAGAAAAACTATAATTTTTTTAGAAAAACAACTAAGAATTTTCAGTCCATATTGTGTTACTTTTTCTGTGTCATCCAAAGGTTGTCAGGGATTCCACACCATAAGATTTGTGTCTTATCAAGAGTCTCACTTGACAAGCAAAGAAAACCCAGGGCTATTGGGAAGTTTAGGATGTTTGCAATTCAGGAAAGACAGATTGTTATGAATGCAAATTAATATGCTGGCATGGAAGACGTGAGGCCATGGGGCAGAGTGAAGGTACTGCCTCTCCTTCCTGCCCAAGGGGAACACCCCAAGCCCTGCTGTCACGAGAGTGTTGTGAGTTACTCTCCTTCCTGGTGGCTGAGGAGCAGGAGGGCTCCATGTCAAGCTGAATGGCCCAGGCAGGGGTATGACCTTTGCCTCTTGAGCCCTGCGCTCTGACTCAAGCAGGCCGCCTGGCACACAGCACTCATCACCCAGATCCATGCCTCTGTCCTCAGCCAAAATAAGGGCGATTCCTTCCTTTCTGGACTCCAGAGACGCAGGAGAAGCAGAATCCAGGTCACGCCTGCTCTGAGCAGACACCTGGCCTGAAAGGCAGACTGTAGGATGCTGGAAGTGGGGTCTGCTTCGAAAGGAAATTCCATCCTAGCTCATGGTTTTGGCACTTACTGACATTGTGGGCAACATAATTGTGGTGAGGGCTGACTTGGGCATTATAAAGTGTTGAGCAGCATCCCTGGTTTCTACCCACCAGATGCCTGTAGCACCCCCTCCCCCAGACAATCAAAAGTATCTACAGATATTGCCAAATGTCCCTTGGGGAGAGCAAAATGACCTTGTTTGAGAATTTAGTTGTTCTTAAAGAGGCTGGAGAAGGAAGGAGGGGAGAAGAGAAAGGGGAAGACGTATCCAAAGAAAGTGCTCTTCACATGCATTTCTTCTGAGGCTTCCAGCCCTGCCCTCCCACACGTCACTCTGCAGCTCAGCCGTCCTCTGGCTAAAGGCTCAGCAGCCCTGAGTGAGAGAAAGAGGCTTCTGGGCCTCTGGGCAGAGAAGACCGTTTTAGAGGCATGAGGACAAATGCGTGAGCCCTACCTGCTCTTATTTCCTATGACTCCTCTAAGAAAGGATGTAAAAGCAAGTGCTACTTTGGGTGACTGAGGTGGGCAGATCACCTGAGGTCAGGAATTCAAGATCAGCCTGGCCAACATGGTGAAACCCCATCTCTACTAAACATACAAAAATTGGCTGGGCGTGGTGGTGCATACCTGTAATCCCAACTACTCTAGAGGCTAAGGCACAAGAATTGCTTGAACCCGGGAGGTGGAGGTTGCAGTGAGCTGAGATCGTGCCACTGCCCTCCAGCCTGGGCAACAGAGTGATTCTCTGTGTCAAAAAAATAAAAAATAAAATACATGAATAAAAGCAAGAGGTGAAACATTATGAAAACCCTGTTAGCTAGGAAAAGGTCTGTGACTAAGCCAAGCTTTCTTTCCTAGCCGGTCCTTAGTGTTTGTGCTTTGTGACCTGCTGAGCAGTAAGGAGTGCTGCATGTTTCTCTGGTTCCCAGTGTAGGTGATATCACAAAAGCAGATTTCTTCTAGGAGTCCTAAAGGACTTTCCACGAAGCATGAAGCCGTTGGGTATTATCGATGGAGGTATGAGGCAATATGTTTTAAGTCACAGACCTAACTCTTCACATTGAGTCCCAGGGAATGAGACTTTTAGATCCCAGACACATAAAATGTGTGGCTTTCTCTATCCCCACCCCTTAAATTGTAAGACCGTTTACTGCAGGAGCGAGGCTGGATGCTCCCGGGAATAGCATCCATGGCCAGTAAGGTGGTGATGAGCCATGTCTCCTCTGTGATGTCTTGTAGAAAGCAGAGCAGAAACAGGTTGCAATGACCTTTTCTGCTGTCTCTTCCCAACTTTGCAATGTCTGCATTGCCCTGTAGTGTGACATCTATGGCTTGCGTCTTGGGGTAAGAGTAAATGCGTCTTTAGGCTCCAAGGAAGCCTATAATTCCCATGCTCAAGCTGAAGTCGTCTCCACGTGAAAATCCCCCATCATCAATGAGGGTGGAGGGTAAGCTCTGAGCATAGCAGAACTGCCGAAGAGAATTCTTTCTCTGGGTGTATGTTTTCTGGGGCATGTAGGTTTTTCAGACCAACCAGGTAAATTAGGCCCAGCTCTTAGTCAAATCAGTCAAATTTTCAGGGTCAACAGGTACAGTTGTTCTCTCCCTCCTCCTGGGGACCATAAAAACTTAAGGCATGGGAATAAATTCAGCATAAAATAAATGCAAATAAAAGAAAAAAATAGAGCCCAGCATGTTCTTGGTTCATCTCAGGGACAGATCAGTCCTATACCCATCACACAAGGGTGGGAAGAAGAAAGGTAGAAATGACGTGGATCTCTGTACCCCACTTCATTCCTCATGAAAAAGTGTTTTCAAAGCATCAGGCAATGATGACAAAGCTCCCTCAAGAGGCATAGTTTTCCAGAGGAAAACTAAGTACTAAGTGCCCTACAAAATAAAGGCTAGCATAAAATTCATCACAGCTGGTGTTCAATGACTTTAAAAGGCTAATTTTCCCTTCCATTTAACTAACACCTTTTCCTTCAGCACCTGAAAAATTGTGCTATATATTTAAACACATAAAATAAAATAGCTGATCAGAGCTTGCAGGCAAACATACTTAAGCCCTGGTCTTGGGGTCACTCTTGCTTACTTATTTTTTCTTTCCACTTTTTCTTTTCTCCCCCACCCCCGCCTCATCATCTGCGTGTCTCTGTAGATTTGCTGAAGAGAGATCACAACCACTTGGCCTTTGCACTGTCTGACACAACGACAGGTGTTGCTCTGGCCTCTCTCTCAGGTGGGTCCTTTCTCAGCGGACTAATCAATCCCGCTCCTGCCACTGATTAGCTGATGATCTGCACATTGGGTTTCTTTTCCACGGGTCAGTGACTTTCTTTCCATTGCCTTCCTAACTTCTATTTCTTTTCTTCATCAAACCAAGGTCTCACACAGAACCGTAAACCAAGGACACAGCTTTTTGTTTCAGGTTGATTCTCTTGGCTGGAAGAGGTGTAAATAATGGAGCTTAGAATGCAATGGCTGGTGATAAAAGGCAGGATGGAAAAGACTGAATGGCATGATAAAGAAGAGAAGGGATGAGAAAGCTCTTGAAGAAATCATCACCCTCTTTTTTTGCTCTAAGAAATTCTCTCCCAAGGCATGCTCTGTCCTCCTTGAAATTAGTGTAAATCCACTTTGCTGCTTGTTATTTCAAAGACAGAGTGATCCATATGCTCTATGGAGTAGATCTACCTTGCTATGCACCCTTGAACAGCAAATGCTTTATTAAATGAGGCTACCCATTTCCTTTCACTAATTCTGGGAAGAGCGTCAGAGAGTGAATTTCCTTATTAGGAATCTTGATTCCTTTGTTCCACATTATCCGTACATCCTGCTTGTAGGATCACAGTAGAAGCACTGGGTAAGTACCATCTCTGATTATGCTCGCTTTGCACACAAATAACTGCTGTTCAAGCGTGGGTTACTTAGCTTGGAGGCATGTTCAATGGTCATGTGCACTTAATCACATTCATTCTTTTGATCAACACACAGTCTATTTAACCTAAGCAGAGACACAGGCTAGATACTTAATCTTCCCTAGGTTTACAACAAGGCATTGCATATTAGAAGAAAAGACACAAAGAAAGTTGAAATATCATGTACCGGGAGAAAATATCCCATCGCCGGAGCCCCCTGGCCAGCCAATGATTTCTCTCATTTTCTTTAGTGTGACATATTCCAAAAGCACAAATACTGGAGCAATTTCATAGGTGAACCTGAAATGTAGTAATGGCCACATTTTACCTCTGTAACTCAAATACATGATTCACAATCATTACAATAGCTACAGAACTATTTCCTTTTTCAAAACATACATTTACAAGCGTTATGATTATAACATTAAGCAGAGAGAAAATTATTTCAAAAAGGCCTTCCAAAAGGTTTATTTTTTCTATGTCCCTACAGTCAAGAGCTCCAATTACTAACATAACACATAAAAGATATTTATTGTATTGAATAAAAAAAAATATTGCAGAGTAACATGATTTAAAATATAATATCTGGTCCCATTTGTCTTTGACATTATGCACAAAAATAAATCAAACATGTCAGAAAAAAGTCTCTTTGGTGTTTTAAAAATTTTGTTGAGTTTGATTACATGAAAGATATATCAGAACTACTTTCTGTTACATTAAAGTGAACACTCACACTTCAGAAGTTTGTATCACTATTTTAGTGGCTATTTAATAAAAACAGATTTTCACATAAGACGTAAAGACTATGGAATATCACTAATAATTATCCTAAATTATATAAAAGCACATTTGGCTACTTACATGTTAGTATTTGCTGTTGATGTCAGCCAGTCTGCTGCTAATCCAACCATATCCAATCCAGTGGAAAGTTGATTGAAGTATCTAGGATGCCCTGAATAAAATGGAATACCAGAATCAGGATTGCCTCCAATGAAAATAAATTCCTCTCAAACACATGATTTCTCTAGCTAAAGGACCTTGAAAGATCTGTCAGTAACAGGAAATCTGTAAGTAGAAATCCAACATGTACACACGTGTGTATGCGCAAGAACACACACACACATACACATGCACATACACACACACCATAAAAGCATTTCCACTAACCACGAAGACTACTTTAGCTTTTGATATTTCTTAAAACATACCCTATAAATCTTCCTTTAATCATACCCTATAAAAAATAACAAATGTGGTTTGCAATTTGCACACGAATTTCTTTTCTATTTTCAATATTTTTGCAAGCTAAAATGCTACTGCAACCCACAGCTATTCAGACAGGTTACTTCTCATTTACACTCATGCTGCCAGAAGTCCTTTTTTGTTGCAGTCGTTCTGAGAATCAGTCATACCATGACATCCGCCAGGCATGCCAACATTCATAATAATATCAGTGACAAATGGCTAATGATTACAAAAGACAGGGCAAAAATGAGAAAATAGGACACTCCGCTGAGTGATTTGCCCTGGATTCAAAAGGTGATAATTGTCTAAAGATGGCATGGACAGACAGAGCTAATTCTTGTCAATTCTTCTTTGTTAATTATAAACAACAGAGCTCCTTCATAGTTGTGCTTTAAAATAAGGTCACATACAGTCAACATCACTGTTTTATCAACAAGATACATAAAGATATATTCAATGGACTGATTAGTCCATTGCAAGGCTTATCTAACTGACTTCTAGATCCCTCTAAAACTCTCTAAATGGACTGACATCCACATTCTCCTGAGGCTATTATTTAAAATGTGATTATAAATATGTCATTAGCATTTGGTTTTTTCCTCTTGCTCCACAAAAGCCTGTCATTGATAGGTCCGTGATTTGCACAGCAGCAAAAATTTTAGAAGATGGGCCATTATGGAAATAACATCTGATAAAAAGGTATCTTCCACATCCTGGACATCTGTCTAAAGCCTGGGATGTGATCGTCTCTCCTCTCCTGCACAGGCGAAACAAGATAAAGGAAGCCAATGGGGAAGAGCAGGGACAAAAGCCAATGGCTAGCTTATCCTGCACTGGAGTGCTCTCTTATCAGCCTCAGGCATGTGGCCGGAGAGTTAGACACGGGGAAAAGATAGAAGCTGGGAAGGAGCACATTTTAGCGGGATCAGGACTTGTGCATCTACTGTGCGTTCTCCAGCATTATTTTATGTCCTTGTGGCCTCATGGGGTACCTTCTACCTCTGACGCTGACCCCCTCAGTTTACCCATCCACGAAGGCTGAGAAGGCCTTTTTGCTGCTGTGGCTGCTGACGTCTGGAGCAACCCTTTACTCCTCTCTGCCTCACTGACTCCCCATTTCATTATGCTCGCAGCTGAAATCACAGCCGCTTCCTCCCTCCCGATGCTCCTTCATTCCTCCATTTCTCTTTCCCTAAGCCTTTTTTTTTCAAGTGAGGAAATTAATAAGAATGATCAACTGTATCCATTAATCTATTCTCCCAATTCATATGCATTTTCTGGATGAATGTGGTGTCTATGATTAGACAGTATTTAACTCTAGGGAAACTTGGGAATGAAACCTCTGCATAAGATGGAGAGAGATTGTGATGGGTGTGTTGTGCCTCTGGATATCAGAAGGCCAGTCCACCCTGATGATAACTTTCTGTAAATGGTGAAAACAAGTTTGACGCTTTCATTGCTAGGTTTCCCTTCCTCCCTCTATATTTTTTGACCTTGCTCTGCCATTTCACCTGAATCTCTCCTGCCTCAAAAATTTCATTCCCTGATCATGATGTGAAAATAGGGAGGGAGATGGTTTAACAGGTCAGATCAACAGGCCCTCTTGATGTCTAGCAGAAATATACCCCTAATGACATTTGCTCTTGTCCTGTGGCCCCTACAGGCTGCTTCCCAGGGCTGCCCAGCAAATCCAGGCAGGGCTCTCTCCAAGGAATTGTGAGACCTGCCCCCATCGGTCAGCTGTCCCTGCAGCCCTTGGCTTCCTGCTGCTGTCGCCACCCTGCCAGGCCCTGTGATGGGAGCAGAGCACACTGCGTCAGGCATCCGGTGGCCACACACAGCCTGTGCGGCCAGGAAGGTGGTGAGCTTGAGATGTGAGAACGGCTGCTTAGACTCAGGGATGCTCCCTGCAGACTAGCAAATGAGCCCGGAAGGATGCGCAGACTCTGGGAACAACCAGCCTCAGGCAACTCTGACCCTGGTGCTCACGATCAGTTGGAAAGAGGCCAAAAGTCGGTCCAAACTGCTCTTTGTGTCCTGGCAACACTCACACTAGGGCGGCCTCATCTACTGTCGCTTAATTCCCTTTGTCTGATGGTTTGGTAAAAGATTCAGGACCACATTTAAGTCCTACTGTTCCCCAGCCAACACCACCACCACCAGCATCAAATCTAATGATCTCCGCAAATGAAAATTATTCTGGAATTCTATCATTCTCTGCTCAGTTTTCTGTGTTCCAACATTTCTTTTTACAGAGGTAATTTTAACAATCCATGAAGACTTCATTTTCCCACTGCCCTTCACTCCTCTCTAAGCTTGGAGCCCTAGTGGAAATCAGGTTAAGGTCTCTCAGTAGAAACAAGATGATAATATGCATTTTATAAAATCATCTCTTGAGAAGCATTAAAGTGTCTGGTAGTAGCAGGGATGGCAACTAATTTGAAATATCCTAAATAGTACTAGATGACAAGTATGACAGTTACAGCACAGAGATCTATAAAGTTGCCAGCTGAATAGAGAAAATGACTGCCGTTAATGTTTTGAAATGCTATTTGAAGGAAAAGGCCAGCAGACTAAATATGTTATGAAAACTACTGAGAGATTGAATTGATATGCTTAGAAATCCAACTTAATCCATCACATTTTTATCTGAACTTTAAATAAAATGCATTACAGTGATACCTAACAGTTTCACAAGCATTATGGCAAAATCTGAGTATTGAATTAGCCCATCTTTTCCTGGCCCTAAATGCAACACTGATAGACAGAACTATTATTTTCACTGACTTGCAGCTCCCATTATCTTAACTCTTTAGACTGCATTTCAGGCACCACTAGCTTTCAAGGATGAAGACACAAAACATTCCCAAAGGTTCTTTTGGTTTGGTAGCAATACAAACAATAGGTAGCAATTTACTATTAACATATCTAAATATAAGGTATGGGGAATGGGTCAAAAAAATGAATTAAAAGCATCACTCAGGATTGCACTATGAATGCAGGAAAAGCTGAGGAGGGGTAGGGAAATTTTTAATGCCTGGTATAAACATCACGTGGGTTCCTTATGAACGCTGAGGATGATGTCTAATACACCTTCAAAACTCCTATTCCACAGCCTGACTTTGATAGAAATCTATGTCCCAAGGCTTTTTGTATGCCTACCTTTCTTCTCTGTTGGTATAAATAATGTGAACAAAAAGAAAAAAAGAACTAAACTTCTCACAGCAAACATTTTAAGAATGTTTGTTATTGATTAGCATAATACTGCTAATTCATCAGCAAAAAATTTGCAATCTAAAAAGATGACGTTTCTATGGTGATGTTGATGTCATATTTCACATTTTTTATTTGCTAGCAAATCTTTTAAAGGCTACACATCAATTTAGATCCATAAAGTTCTCCCCGTCCCTGGAAATTCATTCATACTTATTTTTATTGCCTTAATGAAATGCCATGCCATCGTGTATCAGGATGATTAGAGACAATGTAAAAAGCGAGGTTAATCAAGACCTGGGCAGATGAATAGCTGACTTTGTGTAGATAACATGAAAGCTCGGAATGCACCCAAATAAATGTTATAAACGAAGCTGTAACATGGATGGAATATAAAGAATCCTGTGAAAAGCCAAGAGACCACAAAAGCACATTTAAAAAAATTTCCCCCTAAGGATATCTGATTTGCCCCTCCCCCCTTTTTCCTTTATCTCACATACACAGTGGCTGGGAGGAACACACATCCATATATAACATGGCTGAATTGCTAAGCTAGCCTGTATCATGTCTGCTTGTGTGTTGTGCACATCTCCTTAAAAATAAGTGAAAATCTGAATTCAAATCTGAAAGGTTGGCCTTTTAACACAATGTGAAAACATCCCTCCTGCTCAATGATTAATAGGGTGGTGAGTCCTGTTTCTGACCAGTTTTATGCCAAAGAAAATACCAGCACAGCGCTGGTATTCGGGCTTTTGTTTGGATCATACATTTTTGGAGCTTTTATTTCCATATTCTCTTTCTCCATTTGAGTTCTTTCTGCTGGTTTCTGCTGATGAATGTTTGCTTCTACACCAGTGGTTAATCTCCGTGTCCAAATACATGCAACGTAAAATCTGATGATTTACACTTAAATCATGTTTCTGACATTATCAACTTCAGAAGCATGAGCAATAACAGTGGAAGGTGTTTTGGATTAGAATCATTCTAATAATGACTATTTTTTACGTGATGAAAATAACTTTGCAATTTTGAAAATATCAGTAACTCCATCAAACAAAACATTTTATAGAAAAAAATAAAATAAAAATTGTAAAAGAAAAAAGAGCTTTATTATTTTCGATGAGACAATACCTGTTTTAATTGCATATTTTAGAGTTGTTTGGCAATGCATCAAAATTTCCTCCAAATTTTGTGGTTGGTCTGCCAATTCCCAATTATATTCTTGGAGAAGCTCATTAGGATAATGGAAATCAATCACTTTGGTTGATCTATCGAAACTTTTCACCACATACTGAAGTAAAATGTTCATAACATCTTGCAGAAACGCCAAAGTGGGCCTTTCTCCATCACACGCCGGCAGCAGGTCTAAAGAATGGAATTAAAATGCCACATTTTAATTTTACTGTGAAAATATTCAAGGCAAGATCTTGATGAGGCAATAACATTTCTTTGAATTGAGAGATTTCATGTTAAATAAAGCTTTTGGAAACGCAGAACATTTTTCTTTAAAAGGGAGACATTTTTCAAAGGTGAAGGGAATGAATGAGAGAAATTACGACTTCTCCTCTTCCCCAAATGACTGCATTTCAATTCATAACTTATATTGTTTACTTTCTTTTTTTGAAGAGCGTGTGTCTGCGTTTATCTGCTTCACAGGAGTTCGTCCTAAGGGTTGTTTCTCAGTAAGCCATCTTACGTGTTTACGGAAATATTTCACGTCAGAAGTGTTTGTCTGAATGCCTTCAGGCAAACCAAAGTGGAACAGGCGCCCTAGTATCTCTGGTCGGCTAGGAAGGCCCGCTGTTTCTAAAGTCAGTGTGTGTGTGTGTGTGTGTGTGTGTGTGTGTGTGTGAGAGAGAGAGAGAGAAAGAGAGAGCATGTGCGTGTGTGTGTCTGCATGTGTGTGCGCGGGCATACATTTGGGAGACGGTGTGTAAGCGCACGGGGGTAAAACTTGGCGCGCGGGTTTCATGTGAATGGAATCGTTCTCTTGTGCGATTGCAGCTACAAATCACTCTCGTGATCTAAAGACCTAAAAAAATTATGCAATTCTGCATTCTCGGGCACATTTGGAAACCGAGTCCCACCAGAGGCCCCAGCGGCCTAGGGAAGCCAGCCGTCATCGATTCAGTGCGCGCACGAGCGCCTGGGCCATCGGCCACCCGCCACCCCAAGGGCCGCGCTGGAGGAAGAGCGCCACGGCCTCAGAGCCCTCTTGGAGCTCAGAGGCCAGGTTCGGGGGCTTGGACCCAGCGGGCAGGTCCCGCATTTCTCGCTTTCATCTAAAGATTCTGGCAGGTCCAGCCTCCGCCGCCACCTCGACGCCCCTGTCGGGTTCTCAGCGCCGGGTCCCCACCGGCCGAGGTGGGCGGGGCAGAGAGAGGGGCAGGGGCGCCCCCGGGCTCCGCGAGAGCCTTTACCTGTTGCATGGAGAAACCCGTAGTTGACATCCGCTTTGGGGCAGCTGCAGGGCTTCTGGTCGCAGGCGCAGGCGGCCTTCCGGGCGGCGACCCGCGGGGGTTGGCTCCCGCCGCTCTCCGCCGGCTTCTCGGCGTCTCCGTAGAGCAGGGCTGGGTAAGGACACCGAGCGCGGGCCTCGTCTATCCTCCGCCGGGCCCGGCTCCCTCGCTCCCGCCCACCCGCAGCCAGGAAACCCCGACTCCGCTGACCCGGATGCGGAGGTGAGAAGACGGCTTGGACCCCGCGGGCCGCCAGCGCGCGACCTTGCCCGCCCCTGTCCCTGGGCACTCACCGCACAGTTTGTTTCCGATGCCGCCCGTGAACTTCTGAGCCACTTGGCACCAGGCTCGCGCTGCAAGGAAGGACAGGCAGGCGGACAGCGAGGCGGAAAGAGAACAGCAGACGGACGTGTGAAATTTCGTTCTGTGTGAACATCAATCAGTCCCGGGTCCCGGAAGGGGCTGCATTCCTCCTGGGGGCCACTCAGGACTCGGTGAGGCCGGCAGGTGCGGGAGGCAAGCGGGAGCCTGGCAGCCCGGGCCAGCCCTCATTTACTTGATCTGTTTCCCAAGGAGAAGCCCACACCGCTGCCCTTCCAGGTGCCAGTCGGCTCAGGCAAACTCCTCTCCCTGCCAAGCTTGGAGTTTTCCTAAATACTGAAGCTATCCATTTTTTCGCAGGCTGTCTTTCTAGACCAAGAAATCTCTCACCTTTCCCATTTTTTTTTTTTTTCTATCTTCACGGTCACTCCGTCCCTCCCCAGGGTCCAGACACCTGGATCTTAGCAGCGCCCCAGGCCCATGGATTTCCATGTCCCCGAGACACCGCGGTCTTTGCGGGGCTCTTCGAACCTTCTGTGGAAGGGGCCCGAGACTATTTGGGCGTCTTCCCAGGGGACAAGAGGCTGTAGAGGTCTTGAGCTCTTAGGCCGTCAAGGACTTAGCCCAAAAGCAGGGAGACGCGCCCGAAGAAGTTTCCTGTTGCGGGTGGAAAAACCTCCTTCGTCTTCTCCGTAGCCCCGCAAACCCCAGACCACCGCAAAACTCTCCCGCCGCAGGTCCCGGTTCTCTTTCCTACCTGTGCCGGGATTGTCGGAATCCCCGGAGCCATTTTCCGACCCGAAGGACCAAAAGCCAGAGCCCGGAGATGCCATCGGCTTTGGAGACTGGAGCAGGTCGCCTGCGAGTGCGAGCTGCGGGCGAGCTGCCTTGGGCTTGGCCCTGTGCGCGCGTGCGTGCCCGTGTGGCGGGAGGAGGGCACAGCCCGAACACCGGCGGGGCCGAGCGGCGAGGGCGGGTGTCACCCAGGAACAGAAAACGCGCGTGTCTGAGTGTGCGTGTGTGTATGAGAGCTGGAGACAGGGTTTAGGGACGTGGCAATGCTTTGGAAGCCGGGAAGCCTTAAAAGGGACGGGTACTACCTAAGGGTCCTCGGAGCCCGGACTCGGGAAAGCGCGGAGAGCCCCAGAGCATTTGAGGGAAAGGGAGTCCAGTGGGGATGAATGAGGGGGCGGCGGAGGAAAAAAACACGGGAGAGGGAGGGAGCTGAGTCGTGAGGATGCGAGGCAGACCGTGCACGCCAGCTGGAGTCAGAGTGAGGGGGTGGGAGGTGTGCCAGCGCGTCCTCTGGCGAGCCAGAGGCGGGAAGTGCGGGCGGCCGCTGTCCCGGGTGCTGCCACGGCCGCTGCGCGCCAGCGTCAGCGAGGGGCAGACTGGGGAGATCTCGGCGAGGCGGGGAAGCGTGGCCCAGAGGGGTTTTCTGTGTGCATCGATTGGGGTGTTGTTTGAGGTCTAGCTCCTGCTGAGGGGAAGGAAGCGGGGTTCCCGCGCCGCCCTCCTCCAAGCGGGTGCTGAGGTCGCTGCGACCTCGGGAGCTTGCGCCCCGGGCCGGCATCAGGCGCCGTTCACGAGCCTGGGGAGGGGACGGCGGGGGAAGGGCTCCTACCCGCTGATGGGCTCATTTCAGCGCCTTAGTAGAGCCTGACGCCTGCCTGCTGAAGCGCGCCGTCCCCGGGGGCGCACTGTTCCTGCGCAGCCAAGGGCTAGATCGCGGGACCCACCGTCCAGCCTCTGAGTGACGGCTGGGAAGAATGACTGCTGATTGAGGCAATTAAAATCCACGCTGGAGTCTAGAGGACCTCGGGCTGGGGGAAAAAATAAAACGAATGGAAACTTCTTGAAAGGGAACGAGACAGAGCGGCCAGAGTGGGCAGGATTGATGGCGGGTGGGGGATGGAATCAGGGTATTTGGTGACCTTGGCCCGCGGAGGCGTGGAAGGGCCCGCGGCTGGCGTGGAAGGGGAATCTGTGTGTGCCTGGGAGGAGAGAACAGGGTTTCCAACTAAGCAATCTCGGCTTTCCAAATCTGAGTAGGAAAGAAGGCATCGCCTGAAGGGCCCTCATTTCAAGGGACTTCAAACCATTGTCCCCACTCGCCCCGAGAGAATCTTCGCGGCAGCGCCCGGGAGCGCGAGATTGGCTCTCTCTGAGGCGTATTAGTAAGGGTTTTCTCTTTTTCTAATAAGAAAGGACGAGAAAGTCAGAATCTTTTTCGATGATTTCCTTTCTACAAAAAGCTGTTACAGACAGGGAGGACGCCCTGAGGATTGGGAGCCCTTTGACGGTTTACGCTGCATTCTCTTGGCAGTGGAGATGAACTTCAAGTGCACCTCGCATCTCCGGGGCTCTGGGGGAGAGGGAGGGAGTGAGAGAAGGGAAAGGGCTGCCTGAGGTCGGCTTCCCGAGGCGGCTGCCTTCCCCGCGCCTGGCCAGAGCGCCTGTCATTTCCATTGTGTTCACAAGCCGTTTTCTTTCTCTGACCTCCTGAACCAGCTACCAAAGCTGCTACCAAAACAGAGACCGGGGGATCCCGTCTGGGCGAGCACCTCTCGACCCTCGCTTAGAAGGGACATCCTGGGGCACATGTTGGACGCATACAGGCCCAAGTCCTCTATCCTGGAGCACAACTGTCCCTGGTCAATTCTCTCCACAAAGCGCTGTCTTCTGGCGCGCCTGAGTCCAGGGGTTCCCTGAGGAGTCATGGGATCCACACTATGGCAGCTGGGTCCAGTCACCAGTTTGAGAGCAGGGAACCAGTGGGGCCTTTATAGGGTCCTGCCGAAGGCTGGCGCTGAGCGCGCTAGGTGGAGAAGTCCGGACCAGGCTGTGGGAACCTGGGTGGTCGAAAACTCAGGGCTCAATTTGGCTCCTCCTTTTCGCTTTCTTGGCTCTGACACTCCAGGTCACCACGATAACAACTCCGGAAACCTAAAGACTTGCGGTTCAGCCATCTGCACTTCAGGCATGGCAGCTCTGCAGCTCTCTCCAGCCTCGCAGAGGCTGGTTCTTTGTTGAAATCCATAACAAGTCCTGCAAAGGTTTTGCTTCAAGCCAGCAGTCTAGGGTTGCAGAACTTTCTACTATGGATGAGTGATTGAAAACATAAAGGTTCTTAAAAATAAGCGTTTAAAACACACAAAACCCCCAAAGAAGAAACAGATGAAAACACCCGAATTTAACTGACTTTTTTTTTCTTTTTGGTAAAGCAATGGCTTCAAGTGCTACCGTTTAAACTCCATTAAATCTCACAGCTCTGGAGTACTTTCGATCTAATGGTGGTATTTACATTTTTTATTTAAACGCACCCTACTTCAGATGCAGACGGGGATCTGATTTGTCTTTGCTGAAGGCTGTCCCTCCCTAGACGGTAATTTGCTTTGTAATGACTTTCATTTCACTAAAGAGCCCATTCCCCCTCTCCGGGACTTGGGGTTGGAGATAACAAAAGAGCTCTGGGAGGTAATAATTACAGTCATTAGTTCACAAAGGAGGCAGCCAGTGAACGGGAAGGGAAGGCGGCCAGTGCTGGGGGAAAGATTTGGAAAGCCCTTCCTCAGATGAGGGAGACAGACCCAATCCTCCGGCTTGTAGGGACAGTTTCCTTAGGTGTCTGTGGTTTACTAAGATGCATCTCAGGCTCACCCAAAGAAGAGTGTCTGGCACACATTTTCCTCTGTCCTTCCCATGCTTAAGTGTCAAAGGACAGAGAAAGAAGGGAAGATGGAAAGAAAAGGAGAGGAAACAACCATGGAAGAACACAAAAACACTGCAACCAAGCATTCACCAAGCCTTTGCCATTCTCTTCTCTATTCTCACTTAAAACATTGGTGCAGGGAAAATTTAGGGAGGGAGTCTGTTGCTTCCCTCCCTAAATTCTCCCTAAACCAATAGAAGTAATAGAAGAGGCTGAGTGCCAGGGCTCTTGTCTGCAGGGGCCACCCCAGAAGGAAGCCTAGAAGGAAGCCAGACAGAAAAGCTGAGCTCAGCTTACTGCTCCTTACCCCTGGCCCCTGCTCCGCCCTCACCACAAACCCAGGCCTTCTGGTGGCAAGTGGACAGGTGGTTAGAGGTGGAAGGGGGCTAGGCCACTTTGGGTTTTAGACACCCCTGCCCCTCCCAGCCCTTCTCTGGTGACCTGCTGTGCTGGTTTCCTGGGTACTGGCCATAAGGCTGCTCAGTGCATTCACACAGCTGAGGGTCACTCCTTACTTTTCAGTCGCAAACCCAGTGAGGCTGTGCTGCTAATCCAGGGAACAAGAAGGCCTGGAGTGCACTTGGACTCTGCCTTGCCATAGCTGCAGGTTTCCCCTTGGCCACATTGCAACTATAAAATGAAGAGTTGTCTCTGGGGACCTTTTGGTGCCAACTCTTTGAGTTGGAGAGATGCCCTGTGGACCAGCGGTACAACAAACCTTCTGAGCCCCCTGCACGTGCCCTCACTCACTCCTTGAATATTTCCCCAGAGTCTTGACTCCGGCCTGTGGGTGCAGGAGCCAAGGGCACCTACACACAAAAGCCCCATCCCGGTCAGAACCCTTCTTCTGATTCCGTGCAACAACCTCATCACCTGTCCTCACCCTCTCCAGGTTGCTTAGATGGGAATGTCAGTTTCATAAAACAGCTTAAACCAGGTTTTAGAATAAGGTGCAGTCAACCCAGTAATGCAAACTTCTGTCCACCCACTAGCCTCCCCCATTTTAAATACACACAGAGTCGGAGTAGCAAAGATGGCCCCAAATCTGCAGACTGGGAGAACCTGAAATCTGACAGTTCCACCCAGTGGCGGCACCAGCATCTTTATAGATGGGGCCAAAGACAGCCACACAGATTGGGAAGGCATCGTGCAGGCAAGCACGTGTGGTGTGTTGGGGATTTAGAGATTGGAGGCCTCTGCGTTTGTGTGGCAAGGGGTTTTAGCTTAGATTGTGTTTGTCTGAAGTGGCTGGGTGGTGCTGGGAGTTCGCTGATGAAGGCACCTCAACTCCCCTCCTTGGGCACCGTCACCAGCACAGCCTTATAGCAGAAGCCCCAGAGGGGAAAATGAGGGATCAGTCACGCAAACCACGGGTTTTCCAAGGCACTTCCTTTATTTAGCAACCTTAGTAACCAAAGGAAGAGAAAGAGCAAGTTTGAGATGAAGTACATCTTCGAAATTCTCCCCACCCCTCCCGGGCTTTTTTCTCTTAAGATTCAACCGCTAGCATGCGTTCTGTTGGCTAAGAAAAGCCGTTTCCAAGAAAAACATCTGTGAAGTCACCCCAAATGAGAGAGAGGTTGGCGAGATCCCAGACGCAGTGGAGGCCACAGGAGTTTAAAAAAAAAAAAAAAAAAGAACAAAGAGATCGATTCAGGGATGCCGCAACTGGCGGGCTGGTGAGAAAGGAGGGTGCGGGAGTTCGGACAGAAGGCGTCGGGGGAGGTTTTCCGAGGGCTCCCAGGTCTCTTCTTTCGGGGCACGGAAGGCCAGCCCGGGAACTTGAGGGCCGAGCGCAGCAGGCACCCTCTGCGGAGATCAGGGCCGCAGCTTCAGTGCCTGCTGGTGCCAGCCCGAGTGCCTGCTCGGCCTCTGCTGCCCTGCAGGCTCAAGCGCCTTCCGACGGCGGTGTCTGCCTGGTTGCGCGGCTAGGACTGCTGGACTAGGCGCCGGCGCTGGGAGGTTTTGCGCAGGAGCCTCCTGAAGTCGTAGGGGTTGGCTGCTGCCCCTCTCTCCTCCTTCTTCTCCTCCTCCTCCTCGGGGCTCTCCGCCGCCCAGCACCTGCAAGCGAAAGCCAGGGCCCGAGTGTCAACCGCACCACATTGAGCAGCGCGTCCCCACCTACCCCGAGTTAGGCGGGTCCCCTTCCTCTCACGTTCCGCCAACCGCGGACGTTTAGGAAAGGCACAATTGAAATGACTGGATAATGGCCAAATGTATCTGCGATAATTCTCAGCAAGTTTTCAAAACTCCTCTAAGCTGAGGAGCAGAGGGGCTGGTGGAGCCTGGTGATGGTGTTTAGATACATGCTAAGTAAAGCTTCAGAAGATGCAGTTTGGAAAGGTGAGTTTGGATTGCAATAATTCACAACCAAAAAACAAATATTTATTTTAATACCTTAATTTTAACACACTTTGGTCAAACAGAAAAACTCAAATTGCCTAAATAGACACTCAATATTTTCCATTTGAAAACTGCTCAGATGTTTCTTTAAAAAATGCTCGCTCAAAATCTGACCAACTGCCCTGGTAGTGGCACCAAGAGCTACGGACCCTGTCGGCTTTTTCAGTGTTTCAGTGTTTTGAATGAGGTTGCTGGGCTAAGTTTCTGAACCAGCAAGCAACCACT